GGCAGTTGTAACTTGCCTATGTGCATACATACATATGTACATTCAGGTAAATAGTAAAATTGTGCATATCATGTTTTACTTTAATATGCCTTAAGTGGCTAACTTTGGTGAATGTATGTACGTTCATGAATACTACTTTATTTTACAACGCTTTTATCACCTAACAATGTTGTATGTCCAGACACCTACTATAGCTATAATACCTTTGCTTTGTTTATTTAATACCTGTTCGTAAAATTATATTATTATAACGGACATTGAATAATCTTAATTTTTTTTTTTATATAATTAATGCTATCTTATAATTTTGATAGTAATATTTCGTAGTTCTTTCGCTTACTGTATAACTACATAGCAAATTTGTCGGTAGGTATTTATGACGATATTTAGTTTTCAAAAATTATCAAACTGGTTGTACATATACAATACATAGCACATTCTCGCAAAAAGGGGCACAAAAAAAATATATATATGTCGTTTTTTTGCATAAATCAATTCGTAGGATTTATCTCCAAAGAGCGCAAATATTTTTTGCTTCCCAAATTCATTCTCTAACTAGAAAACTCGGTGTCTCACAAGAGGGATTTAAAAAAAGGAAATTGGTCTTTCTTACAAATTTAGTATTTTCGAATTAAAAACAATAAAATAATTACTCTTTTATCGTGAGAAACTTAGTCAAGTTTGATTTCGGCTACTTGTGTATATTCGGCACAAACTACCTAGACCTACTACACTCGGTAGGGCCCAGGTTAAATCCGTGATCAGAGCAATGTTTTCTCAAGATTTCTCGTATGCGCCCCTTTCTGAAGGAAACAGCACACCTGCGAGTGTATTTCTCTCATGAAAAAGCTTCTCATAAAAAGCATTTGCCGTTCAGAGGCGGCTTAAATTGCAGTTTACTTCAGTTGTGCTACAATATTGACGCAAATAGGAGGGGAAGACCGGCCAAAATTCAAATGTTTTATTCGTTTTTTTTTTTAACAAAAAACAGCAAAATTAGCACATATTTTTTAACAAATTAAAGGTTATTTTCATGATACAAAAAATAAGGTAGTTTCAATAAACAGAGTTTTGATAAAAAAAAGCAGATTTTTGACAATTGCTCAATTGTGAAAACTTCTGGGCGGTGGCTGCTCTTCCGTGGAACTGCTTGAGGTTGTATTGTCTGCCTCGATAATACTCGCTCGGGGTGCGGGTATACCAACTTTCTTGAAATATCTATTGAATAGTAAATGTTAATTATTAAGTTCGAAAATTTATAGCTTTATACCTTTCCATATTTCTGCAGTTTTGCAAATATTCAACAATCCCGCCGACAACAGAAATTTTGCCAAAAGTATGAAAGTGATGAACATAGCATTGCAATCAGTGTTGCCACTCACTCCATTTATTTTGTAGCAAAAAATTTAGCAAATCCTACTGAAATGTAGCCGATTTTGTTTTTTAAGACTGCAGTTATATTTAGAGAATACCCCGCTTGGTATTATTTGTTTATTAAATCAATAATATTGTTTTGTTACATATGAAGAATATCTACATTAGTCAGTCCATTATTTTGAGTATGTAATGTAAAACATATACACAAGGCGTTCAGAAATTTAATGATCAAACTTTGGGAGTGTATTTGGGACTCAAAAATAAGCCAAACATTGGGAATGGGGAAATGTTCACGATTTTGATTTCTTAAGGAGATAATGCATTACTATTATCCCGTAATTGCCGTGCCAAAATCATACATTAACGCAATATCGGGATATTCCTTATGATAAGATTTGTGTCCCTTCAAACACTTCAATCACTGGCTGACATCAGTGGGAGGTTCTTTTTGATGAAATAACATTCATATCATACATCAAAAAGTGCGATAGCGATTCGAAAATTGTCGCTAACTGGTTACAGGGATGAGCAATGTGATAGGGATGAGAAATTTGATAGGGCTGAGCATTTAAAATATTCGTTAAAGGTAAAACACAACAGCAATAGTCGATTATTTATCCCCTCAAACAGAGTTAAAGGCGCATAAGTAGATATTTGTACATGAAACCTGTGTTTATCGCTTTTCGTCATTTTGTGACGATTAATTCAGCCGTATTTGTTCGTACAATATTTTTTATTTGGATTTTCCTAAATTTAGAAAAAAGCTAGAAAAAGCTAAACAATTTTCGGAAAAAAGCTAGTAGCTAAATTGGAGTTTTTCTAGCTAAACAGCTAAATCTAGCTGGAAAATAACCAAAATGGCAAGACTGGTTGTAGATATTCAAAGCAAATGTACAATTCAACGTCCTATACGTAAAACTCAACAAAGGCATTTGCTCACTCATTCGCACTCAGCGAACGACCATATAGTTACAGTGAGAGTTTTTTTTCGATTTATGATTTTTTTTTTACATGCCTCGTGTTGTTATTATCCGAATGGCATAGCATTTTAAATGTTAATTTTCTCAAGCGAATGTATTTGTGTACATATGTATGTATACACTTTTTGTATTTGTTTGACTGTTTGATTTCAGCTTGTCTCGGGTACTTTATCCGTGAGTGAATTAGGTTAAGTGCGGTCATTAAACCATCGGCACAAATTTTGCAGTCATGCGGGCATGATCATGATGTTGTGCTACATTTATATTGTGTTGTTGATAAGAAGCTTGGCAAAACACCCTGTTTTTCCAAAGTAACTTCTGTGAAAATATGGCTATATATATGTACATATAGATATGTCGTCGTTATGTATTAAAGCCTTAAAAGTTGTCAATGTAAATTAACGGTTGAAATGGTTTTAGGAGATTTGTAACTACAGCAAAATATTTTTGAACAGATAGAACATATAAAACTAGCTCTAATCATACACAGAATATCGCCTTTAAATATTATACCGTTTTATATGTAAACATATTTAATTTTTCATGAAGAATTTTGCAACAAATGCGACTTTTTCCTCAATCGGCTTATTATGTTACGTATACGCACCCCACTCCGCTTGCCAGTCGGTGGTATGTAGGCATCTACATAAAGACATATCGTTATCTTAATATAGAAAGGCCCTAACTAATTTTCGTTCGAAATTCAGCATTATAAAAAGATTGGTACGCTAGTAACTAAGGATTTAATCGAATTTAAAAACAACTACTTACTACATCAATAACCCGTGTTTTGAAGAAATTCGCAACTGAAAATTTTTAGTTTCTATATAGTTTTATAACCGCTTTGTAAAGAAAAGAAAATGCGAGTTAGGGTCTTTCTACATATATTAAGGTAACGATAAGTACATACATATGTACATATTTATTATTCGTGATAGTTTTGTTTTTATTGCCATTGCTTTAAAAAATTCGTTCATGGTTGGTCAACGAACTCATGGCTGGTGCACACACATTTAGTTTAAGCGTGTAAATATATGTACAGATATATAATAATGTACACATACGTAACTAAACATTTGTGTGGGTATTAAACTCACGATTTCAGCATTCATTGCTACGGAGTGTCGTTTGTTTCTTTTTTTTGCGTCTATGCTCTCGTTGCTTAGCTCGGGCTATTCGTTCGTGTTTTATATTCCTACTCAGAGACAATGAGCAGGCAAAAGAGTATGAGTGACAAAGTCGTACTACTAGTATTATCGTGTATGTATAATTAACAACATTTGAGAAAGACCTCCAAAGCGTACATACTATGAATGTTAATCCCGGGATCCTGGGATTCCGGCCTTTTTAACTTAGGGTTTACACCGGACAATATTGTCAAGACAATTATGTCAAAATTATCTGTTTGTTGTAATATGAATTCGCCGAGTTTACAACAAACACATCATTTTGACATAATTATCCTGACAATATTGTCCGGTGTAAACCCTAAGTTAGATCCCAAAAATCCCGGAATTCTTGGCAAATAATTAATAAATAAAAATAAATTGTAATTTGCACTGATGGCAATAATAGAAACGCCTTTTCTTGACCAGTATTGGCTATATTTCTTTTTTTATTTAATAAATAATATTTTTTTATAAATCTCTAGCTCATTATACATATAAAACTGTGCGATAGTAAATTTTACACACAAAAGTCAATATATTCATGCAACCATGGGCCAAATATAGTAAAATTGCTTTTTTAGTTTTTCACCCTGAAGTCAGTAATCCAAAAATTATTTAAAAAATTCAGTGAAATGTACTTATAGAAGAAGTATGGGTATCAAATTAAAGAGGAAATTCCGTAGATTCAAGTTTTTGGTGCTGAAGGACTGGTAAGTGTTGAAAATGTCCTTTTAAAATTGTATCCTTGAAATTTCGCAATATTTGTTTTTGAAAAATATATATGTCAAGGACTTATATAAGCTCGATAACATCCTCGAATTTCGTCCTTCTAACTTTATCGGCTTAAAAAATTACCTATTCGTCCTTGTGAATCCAACAAATTTTAATTTTTTTAAATTCTAAAGAAATTTCCTCTTGCATTTGGTACCCATGTTTTTATTCTACATTGCATATAATTTGTTTAATAGTTTTCGGAATTAATCATAAATTTGAAATTACAAAGTCCTTTAAAATAAATCCTAATGTCAGAGAGCAAAAATAAAAACGTCACTTTGAATAAAAAAGTACGTCTCAAACCCATTTATTTATTTTATTTTTTATGGTGGGAGAGCTTCTCAAACAATATAGAAAAAATTTTTTCGATTTAAGTTGTTGAAAGGTAATGAATATCTAAATCCCGGGATTCCGGGATTGTGATAACGACATCCCGAAAATCCCGGGATCGGAAACAGCTAAAAAAATTAACAACCATAGTACATACATACATACATAAATTCATAAATATGTGTATCAAATACAAGTACTTATGAATATGTATGTATAGACATGCTTATTTTTAATACAATATCCATTAGCCAGCATAATTCGGGGAATTAAAGCATCTGATGCATTCATCTGTATCTATATACATACATAAGTATACATATATGCATGTAGTACGTGTGTATTATTAAATATAGAAAATTAAGCTTACCATCACGACTCATTCCAACTGCAATACATTTTTTCAGCCGACAATACTGACAACGATTACGATTTATGCGTAAAATGCTGCATTGCTGATTTTTTGTACATGGACGATATTGAATTTTTTGTTGAATGGATCGTCGGAAAAATCCCTGCAATTATTAAAGTAAGTAGTCAATTAGTCAATTAATAAACAAACGTAGTGCATATCAAATGATACAAGCTTAAAATCTATTCTTAAAGCGGGAACTATGTACATGTAAAATCGTCTTGAATAAATATATCATTTGATTTTATTGACAACATAATATGTACATATATTATTAATATTATTATTAATTAAGTACCACAAATGTATGAAAACGACATAAAAAAGAAAAAATAAATAAATAAAAATAAATAGGGATATTGAAACAATAGTGTAAATATTTGTCATTTTCTAACTAATTTGAACAACGTACATCAGGGTTGGCCGTATCACTGGCTGTCTTTCCCAATGCAGAGTCATGACATGAAATATTTTTCAAGCATGAATGTATTGATTCGTCATTTGGACTGCTGTCGGTTCCAGCCTCAGTGGAAAATTTTATGAAAGTTTCTAAGTTTTCATCGAATCTCTGACAAAGATCATTCATAGTCGATTGTTCACTTTGCGTTTGTTTTTGTGATCTGCAGTGAACCTCGCACAGTTCATCGTCACAGCCCGATTCGTTGTCCTGCAAATTAGAATCACCACATTGACAAGATGAAGGATTTCCACTATCGTCTTCTTCTTGCTTCAACTGCTGCGGAGTACAAGTGCAAAAAGTAGGTATAACACATGTGGATGATTGACTGCTTGAATTGCTTAAGAGGGAAGAATTGCTATCGGAACTGTCTCGTCGATTTTGCTGAAATTGTTGCTGTTGCTGTTGCTGGAGAATTACAGTGATCTCTTTTTGTGTATGTTCAGACAAAATACATTCAGATCTAGCTACTACTTCATCAAATATCAGCTTTGAGGTGGCCCCTTCCGTTTTCACATCATTCGTTCCTAATTTTTCAGACGTTACTGTTTGCGTCTGATGTTCAGCGCTAAATGATTCTGGTTCTTTTCCTTTTTGAAGCTGTTCTCGTTGCTTCCATTCTCTGGCAAAACGAATTTTTTTCCAAGGGCAGTGGTATTGTTCATAGCAGTCACTATTTTTGCCGAAATCTCCCGCTTCATCTTGTGTAATCGTTATTTTATTAAGAGCAGCTGTCTTTGCTATAGTTCCCCTAACTTTTTTTTTGAGGCTATCAATTGTGAAATTATTATTTTTCGTCCTACTTCCATCCTCATTATCATCTATATAATCTTGTGCTCCTATTTCAGAAATGTGATCTGTAGTCTTTTTTAAATTAATTGAAGTATCAGTTTTAACCTCGTGGTTTGGGGTAGTAGGATTTTCGACTAGCAAAGGAAGATTTTTCCCAGTTGACTTCAGTCTTTTACATTGAATTGCAGGCACATCATGCATGGCGTGTTGCTGTTTTTGTTGGTTTTGCTCTTTCAAATATGTGCATTCGAGTTGCCCTCGATTTTGCGTTTGGGCTATTTGACCCTTAACCATCAGATTAGAAGCACCTATCTCCGTCCCTGAGCTTTTGGCTAATAGCTTCTTTGTGATCGGTTCAGATTCTAAAAGCTTGACCAGTGCGGAATGCTGTTGCTTCAACTGTTGACTCTTCGTAGGCGGCAGACATTTATGAGTTCCCAAACATTCTGTGTATTGCTCTTGTATATTTCCACTGGGCTTTTCTAACAAAACTATTTTTGTCAATTGGGGTTCCAGCAGTGGCATTGAATTTGATTTCAATAGCTGAGGCTGCGACGTTTCTTCCATATGTGTCTGGAAAGGCTGACGATGGTGTTGTGGCTGATGCTGATGTTGACGCTCATTGGCGTTTAAATCCTGTGTTGCACAAACCATTTTCACAAAATCTCTCTCTAATATTTAACAAATTTATTCCAAATTGTTGGATACACACTTTTTTCTTTTAAATCCTCACAACATGAATTGAACATGTTTCAACATATTTCGCTATATTTTGCTTATTTAACTGTCTACTTCTTGAAGAATTTCCCGCCAAAAGACGAACACTGGTTTTTGTGTTATTGACTTTCCTGTTTCACTTCAACATGTTTATATATTTTTCCCGCTCATCCCTTATGTATGGATGCTCAAGTTTTCATAGCATGCAATCAAAAGTTGTCTTTAAATTTTTTTTTTTGTATTTTTCTTTTGCCTAATAATTTAGTCTAGTTTTGTACGATGGGTGTTGCACGTTGGGTTGCAAGTTCGATGCTACTTAAATGTATGTAATCACTGAATATTTTTGAACGCTTTTCGACTAAGCTGTTGTCAATCTTAATTTGCAATATTACTTTGTCTTTTTTACATTTTTGTTCACTATAATCTCTTCAATTAAACAAGCTCACAAAGCGTTCGCACATATACTCAACCGTAGCGTTTGACAGGCAAATTGCGAATGATTTTCTCAACTCAACCTCGAATTGTTTATTCGTTGCTGTGCTCGTAACGTACGAATCGTTTTTACGTCTACTCTAGTACATTCTTCGGTGTCTCGGCCAGCCGAGCCAACTAGCTGAGAACAATGACCCCCAGATGAGTACAAGAAACCAGCTATATCTGAGTGAGTTTTGGAATTGAGTCAATTTACTGTGTGCGTGTTTTTTCATACACATAATATTCAGTATTCAAATATCTGTCCCACTTTTTTGGCGATTACAAGGTACCAGAATAAACGTACATATGTATGTACATGCATACTCCCTTGAAGCTTATCTATTCAAGTTTTAATCGATTAAGTACATACATCAGTATACATATGTACATACATGCATACATACATAAATATGTACATATTCAAACACACTAACATACATGTATTTTATGTGGAATGATAAAAACTATGAAAATCGTATTTATTGCGGAAGAACAGTTATTATAAATGGCTCTACTTATTGGTTTGAAACCTAGGTTTTTGTCCCGTATGTGGGTGCACGAATTTTTAGTTTTTATACTCTAAAATTAGAGCTTTTTACAAAATTTTAAATTTGATTCCATCAAAAGTTATGAAAACGTAAATAAAGGTCTGCTGAAAAATCCTCATTGTGCATTTAGCATACGAGGGGCGAGCGACTTTTCGTGCAAAGCTAGATATGTAGCTAAATCTACAATCAACCATTTCAAAAATACCAAGTGACGACGAGATACATACAAACCTAGTATGAGACTCATGGGGATGCAACGCGTTGAGCGAAACAAGAGTGCAATGATGGCGTCGTCATTGTTGCTTATACATATTAGTTCAACGAACTCCATCATTGTCGTGACCCAATTCTCGGTCAGCAACCTCGAAAAGTGGAGCTCGTTTGTTCGCTCACTTCATATGCCCGTTCTATTCAGTTCGTTTACAAAACTATACAATGATATTCATATATGTACATACATATCTATCTACATATGTAGGTATAGATTTGTATGCACATTTATTTGTATATTTTTACGAGAATAAACGAACAGATAGCTTTGCATACACTCCCACTTTGGTTTTGTGCGCGACAACTACAATAATGATGTTGATATTCCGAGTCCCAAACATTGAAGGAGAATCGCTTTTAATCTCTCAGCACGAGTATAATAAATGCTCACACCTACAATTTTTTTTATAAATATTGCATCTCTCTGAATACTTGATTGCTGGCTCTCATACTGAATACTATAAAAATTTTTATCAACGAGCCAGAGTAAAGAATGCAGTCCTACTTGCATAAATTTAAATGTCTGTATATAGATACATACATACACATGCATATGCATATACAGAAATCATTGTTCTTAAGTTCACGCAGCCTGTTATGGAGTGAGAGGTGACGATTATGCTTCTGCACCGCAGGGAGAACGCAGAGTGAAATGTGGAAACATTGGCGAGTTATATGGAACAAATATGTATAAAATCTGGGTTCACCTTAGCTACTGAACGGTCAATGACATAGAAACGCTCAGTAAAGTGCACACTGCACATTCTCATAGCATTAATATTTATGCACACATTAGAGGAACTCAGAAAATTAGCTTTAATTCTTTGCACTATATCGCACGCTTAATAATATAACGAAGTATTTCAAAATTTAAATTTTGTGGGAAAACGCAATCAAAAGTTTTATTAACTCACGCAGATGGAAAGAAAGAAATACACCGTCGCCATATTTGGGAAGCTTAATTACCTGATAGACTGAATAAATTCTACTTATCAAGCATATCAATTGCATAACGATATCTCCAAAAACGTAAATTTTGAGTTACATCTCTATATTATTAAGCCTGCGATATGTACTAGTATTTTAAACTTTCTGGTTCTTTCAAATGAATATCTTTGTTAAGCTCCTTTAAAATTATCCTGGGAACAACCAAATGGGTTAGATTTTTATGGTAACTGAAATTTCAGAGTATACAAGCTGGAATTACATACATACATAAATATGTACATATATCTGTTGATAAATAGGGTAAAAATGCGTAACGACAACTGCTGTGACGTAAAAAGATATTTACATGATCAAGTAACTACATATTCATCCCCGACATAACTCATCATTTTGAACTTGTTTCTCATTTCTCTGAATTCAATAAATTAAATTATAAAATAATTCAAATTCATTCATTAATCTATATACATAACCGAATCGCTTGATATATTTTAGCTTAACCAAAATATATTTTGTATACGCACTCATCTTGAACCAATTCTGAATCGGGGAAATACAAACAGGGTTATTACATTTAAAATTTTATTATCTCAATCGATGAATCGCGAGTACAACCTATGAAACACAAAACTAGGGATTTCTAGAAAACGCCAGAAGAAAACGGCGTTAACGTTTTAAGTTAATCCATAAATTTTTATACATAGTGGTTGGTGCCTAATTAAAATTTTACAAGCAAAGGGAAATGTTGTAAAGAAAAAAATCTCTTCTTATGAGACTTAAATGACAGGTATTATATGTAATGCATTTTTTCACAACATAAAAGCAAAGCAAACGTGCGATGTATGTATGTTTTAACATACCCATAACCAGTGTTTCCGGAAGTTTGGAAATTAAAAAGCTATGTAAGCTTAAAACAAAAGCAATAAAAATCTATAGGCTACAAAAAAGGCGCTATCTTTATTTGTTACACATTGGAATTTAGATATTTTTTATTACACGTTATGTTCCAGAAATGAAACTGCTTTTCGCCATTGATTTATTTCATTAATAAAAAAATATATAAAATACATATGTATATGTATATAAAATCACATGTTCAGAAATTGAAAAAAGCTGGCAAAAAGCTTGGAAGATAGACCAGAAATTTCGAAATAAAATAAACTGCTAGATCTAGCCTCAAAAAGACTAAACTGGCAACACAGCGCATAACAAGACTGGTTTAAACCATACATACATACATATATACACACATACATATCTTTGTATTATATATTGAATAATCTTTGGCTTAAAACACCCCATTTCATGCTGCCTTAATGTCAACAAACTCTCCGCGTAGATGAAAAAGGAATAACAAAACAACTGCCAGTAATGACCGCAATTTATGGTACAAGCGCGATGCTCAATATGCTTACTCCTGCTGGTTGCACTCATTCATACTCTTAAACAAGTTTTTGAAGAAAGTGAGAGGATTTTTCATCTTCACCTTGTCATCTTTCTCACAGTCAACACGTTTCAGATGGAACCATATTAGGTTTTTATAAATCAAAGTTTTATATTTCTAATTGGTTATGGTTCTCAAACCAAACTAATCCATCTTTTAATAATAATAAATACAGTTAAGTGGAAAATGGAATTAACAACAAGCAAATAATATAGAGACTTCTGTATGCCAAATATGAACACAAAGAAAAAATTATGTCCTTTTATTTAACATAAATTTTCTCAGAATATGCACCCAATACATACATCCATACATATGTGTTAAATATACATAATTTTGAATACATGGATAGAAATAAGTCACGATTTTACTATTGACGTCATTTGGCAGCACCCGTTGTTTATTTATATGTGCAGGCATATGCAGTTACATACGTATAGTTATTTACTTACCTATGTACATAGATTTTTCAACAAATGGACACATTTCAGAACACACCTACAATAATAGGTATGTATGTATGTATGTCCTCCACGCAAATCAAAACTCATACTTAGTCGTAACCGAGCTAGCAGACAAAGTTCATTTACCTCGTCGATGGACACAGTTCCATTTCGACCTCGTTGGCCAAGATAACCCGCAAACAGTATTTTTTTCAATTGCAACTACATGTTGAGTTTGAGAGTCTCTCAAAATGAAACATGTATGTATGTATATGCACATGTATTGGTAGGTATACTCGTCGCACGTTATAAACGCATTCATAGATGGAGTACGTGGGAGAGTGGAAATAAATCGAGTATAAAACTACTTAAGAAAATCGTGCTCTTCTCACTCACTCTAACCAATCAACTCAGTGCGTTTGAAAACTCAAATATTCTTTATGGGTCATTCCATATTAGTACTTATAACTGAAAAATATTTTTGACTGAGTTCAGGATATAAAATAATCCGATACGTATTTTAGTAGTTCCGCAACGTTTGAAGAACGAACAATTTTGCATATTTCAAAATGTACTTTTTCAACGAAATCTTCTAAAAATACTGAACTCACATGTACAGTGGGGAGCAGTGATGCGTACATGTTGATTTTTGTTAAATATTTGCAAGGATTTGGAAGTTAAAATTTGTTTGTTATGTTTTCATAAAAATATGGTTCATATTTCAGTAGTTAGAGGAGCGCGCTACCACTCTGCAGGGACTGGGTTCCAGCCCTGGTCAAAGCAAATCACAAAAAAAAATATGTATAGTAA